ACCTCCGAAGAGGGATAATTCTGGCAAGGATAAGACGACGGAGAACAAACGCCGCTTGGTCCCGTGGGGAGTGACGATGTTTGGGAAAGATGATTGGAATCAGATCAAGATCGAGGAGCCAAAGAAGCTGGCTAAAAGGAAGAAGTAGTTCAAGCTGCTGGGACTCCTCGACGTGATCATTTTCCCATGTTTTTCCACCACTCTTTCTGTCTATGTTTCCTTGATCTTCCGTTTCTTGACCCTTTTTCTGCTTATTTTGACTTTTATCCCTGTTTGCTGGAATACATCATCTTTAAGAAGTACTTTAGTCTTTGGAACCTAGGGGTTTAGAGCGGGGTTTTCAATAATAATTTTACGCCATACATTTGGCAAAATTGTCGCACATTTTACATCAACGTGTTCATACAGTAGCGTTACCAGGCTCCGAGCACCCGCGTGACCCCGTGTGCTGCACTCGACCGTCCGAAACCAAGCTCGCTAGCCTGTCGGGGGCGGGAAGTAGGATGACGCAGCTCCGGGCCACCGAGGTGGCTCGGGGACCGCCTGGCGCAGCACACCCCCTCACGTGTAGGGGATAGGGACCACCTGTCTCGCGAGCCTCCGAGGCCCGGGCCCGGCCTCGCAGGGGCCTGGCCAGGCTCACCAGGTCCCCATGTGGAAAACACGCTGCAATAACCCGATAATGCAGGGGAACAAAAAAAGGCACCCCGCGAGCCACACCCCTTGCTATGATCGCTCTTGCTGTCTCCCCTGTTTGCTTTCTTTTTTATCTTTCCCCCTCCATTTGTTTCCCTAAGGCTCATACGATGCTTTCGCGTGGTATGAAAACACAAAAGTCAGGCTGCGTGACGCAGAAACACAATGAGCTGGTGCTGGTTCGCGTATACCCAGTTCCCTAACTGTTTTTCCGCGTCAATGCTGTTGTACCCTACTTGTAGTCGTAATTTCGAAACTTTAAATTAAACACACCAAGCGCGGGATGTGATGTTACACTGCGGGTGAACACGCGGCATCACAAAAACCCTATGCCAAGTTTGGACGAAGTTTGATTGCGATTGTCTACGCGTAAAAAAATCCGGACCCAATTTCGACCGACGGTTGGAGTCATTTGATAGGAGCTCCGACACACAACTCGCGACAAGGCTTGGCTCGGCTGGCACGCGTGCTTTTTCGGATGACATTCGCGCGCAATCTGTTTTGGTGCAATTTCGTGACCAAATCATTTAAATATGGATTTTGGTTTTGTTTAATTCTGGGAATTGCGGATTTCAGAATTACATTCAATATTCCGGTTTACAGCAACCATTATTCAGCATTCTAACAACTAGCAGTTTTAACACCTAGTCAAATAGCCTACGCAATGGTGGGCCCTGCAAGCGCCCGGTGGGCAAGAACAACATCTCCAAGGTCGCCATCGTCGATGAGGAACTTGTTCGGGAAGACGAACGCACCCTGAGCCGGATCGTGTGGGATGCGTCGCTCCACGATGGCAAAGTGTATCATCTGTTTGACCTTGTCACACCACTCGAAGTAGTCCGGCCTGTTTTGTTCCGGCTGGGCCAGAATTCGCTTGCGGCGCTTGTCCTGCAGAAGGGGCCACTCGATCTGCAATGTGGTATAGGGTTGGGTGGATGGTGTATGAGGGGGGGTTACGGGTATATGATCCAACTGTAAGCGGTGAAGACGACACACCCTACGTAACCGCAAACGCCTAAGCGACCAGGGATTTAGATGAAGTACAGGCAAGGGGTTTAGGGGATGAGGCATGGGTGTAGAGACACATATCTACATCCATACCGAAAACAGGCCCCATGCCACCATGCGACTCTTGAACTTGGTGAACACGACCCCGCTCCTCTTGAAGGAGAGCTTGAACGCATAAGCAAACAAGGGGTTGCCGAAGGGCGTTCCGGTGGCCTTGTCAAAGTGCCAGTTGAGGGCCCACTGTTCAGCATTTTGGGAGGGAGCGTATGGGTTGGAAAGGGGGTGCAGATAGATCAAGTGGGGGGGTGAGAGACAGGGTCAGAGTACCACGGCACGGTTATTTGTAGCTACCGACTGGCTTATGGGCAGGGGGATATGGTGTGTTCGAGACGCACATACCATCTCTGTACTCGGCCAGGAGTTGCTCGTCGTTGAACCACTTCTTTGGGTGTAGCTCAGTGGGCAGGCTATCCACCGCATTGGCGTAATCGGAGAGACCCATGCCGGCGTATGTTGCTGGCCTGAGGGTGCTGTTGATTGTTGACCTGGTTGATGACATCTGGTGGTTGAAGACAGCCATGGTTGACTTGTCGTTGTGCAACCACAGCAGCTTCATTGACTCTAGCCCTTCGGCAGACAAGTGGACAGCGAACGCCTCGAACACTTCCTCCGGTGCAGGGTAATACTGAATTTTCTCCGGGGGGTTCAGAAACAGGAGCTGAGAGCACACTAAGTAGGCTTTGTTCTGCGCAGGGGCGTGGGGTTTACAACACGACACGGGGAGAGAGAAACCATCAGTTATGACTGTGGCCGCGTGACCACAGGATGGACTGTGGGAACTTTCCACGTCACACCCTCCTCCATCCGCCACGACCACCAGCAACCAGCCCCACTTGCCACGTCACATCCACCCACCCCATGCCACGTCACCCCCTACCCACCTGACACGCGTCACCTGGTCACGCGCCGCTCCCGTGTAACCTTCCAAGCCGCCACGTCAGCCCCAAGCCACACATCCCGCCACGGCACACCCTCCTGCATCCGCCACGTCAGGGAACAAACAGCCCCACGTGCCACGTCACACCCACCCACCCCATGCCACGTCACCCCCCACCCACCTGACACGTGTCGCGACTTCACGCGCCGCTCCCGTGTAACCTTCCAAGCCGCCACGTCAGCCCCAAGCCACACATCCCGCCACGGCACACCCTCCTGCATCCGCCACGTCAGGGAACAACCAGCCCCACGTGCCACGTCACACCCACCCACCCCATGCCACGTCACCCCCTACCCACCTGACACGCGTCACCTGGTCACGCGCCGCTCCCGTGTAACCTTCCAAGCCGCCACGTCAGCCCCAAGCCACACATCCCGCCACGGCACACCCTCCTGCATCCGCCACGTCAGGGAACAAACAGCCCCACGTGCCACGTCACACCCACCCACCCCATGCCACGTCACCCCCCACCCACCTGACACGTGTCGCGTCTTCACGCGCCGCTCCTGTGTAACCTTCCAAGCCGCCACGTCAGCCCCAAGCCACACATCCCGCCACGGCACACCCTCCTGCATCCGCCACGCCAGGGAACAAACAGCCCCACGTGCCACGTCACACCCACCCACCCCATGCCACGTCACCCCCCACCCACCTGACACGTGTCGCGTCTTCACGCGCCGCTCCCGTGTAACTTTCCAAGCCGCCACGTCAGCCCCAAGCCACACATCCCGCCACGGCACACCCTCCTGCATCCGCCACGTCAGGGAACAACCAGCCCCACGTGCCACGTCACACCCACCCACCCCATGCCACGTCACCCCCTACCCACCTGACACGCGTCACCTGGTCACGCGCCGCTCCCGTGTAACCTTCCAAGCCGCCACGTCAGCCCCAAGCCACACATCCCGCCACGGCACACCCTCCTGCATCCGCCACGTCAGGGAACAACCAGCCCCACGTGCCACGTCACACCCACCCACCCCATGCCACGTCACCCCCCACCCACCTGACACGTGTCGCGTCTTCACGCGCCACTCCCGTGTAACCTTCCAAGCCGCCACGTCAGCCCCAAGCCACACATCCCACCACGGCACACCCTCCTGCATCCGCCACGTCAGGGAACAACCAGTCCCACGTGCCACGTCACCCCCCACCCACCCCATGCCACGTCACCCCACACCCACCTGACACGGCTCGCCTCGTCCCGCGCCGCTCCCGTGTACCCGTCCAAACCGCCACGTCAGCCCCAACCCTCACATCCGCCCACGTCACACCCTCCTTCATCCGCCAAATCCACCAACGACCCTCCCCACGTGCCACGTCACACCCACCCTCCCCATGCCACGTCACCTCACACCCACCTGAAACTCCTCGCCCCGTCATGCGCCGCTCCCTTGCATCCGTTCATCGCCACCACGTCATATCTCAACCCTCACCTTTTTTGCCACGTCACACCCCCTTGCGTCCGCCGCGTACACCAACAACCCAACCCACTTGCCACGTCACACTCAGAGATCCGATAGAGCCACGTCAGCCCCCACCCACCTGTGGAGCCGCGTGTCGTCCTGCACCGCTCCCGCGCACCCTTTCCAACCGCCACATCATCCCCAACCCTGCCCTGGTTGCCACGTCAACCCCAACCCGCCACATACCGGGAATGGGTTTGTCTCCTGCAGCACAAGCACACGTGCCTTGTCCACGGCACTCATCGGCGGCGGGGTACCAGCCATAGGCACCACTGCGGTCCCCCCGGCATAGCTGGCAGTAGCTCCACGACGCAGGCCGAGCTGAGCAAACATGGCGTACATCTCAGACCGTAGCTGCTGGAACTCGTTTCGTGTAACAAACTGCCCGTGCTCTGCACCTTCGCCCAGCGCATCCATGACATCTGGAAAAGGGTGTGAAGAAACCCCTCTCTGGCCAAGGGGATCAACGTCTTCAGCAGCAGTCCCGTGTGCCCTCACACTATCACGTTGGCGGGAAAAGGGAAGCTCAGGGAAGGGATTGGCAGAAGTGCTTGGTTGATGCCCGCGCGATGGACCGGCGAGGGGGGAGACCGCCCTGCCCCGGACAGGAGAAGCGTGTAGTGGCCGAAATGGGTAAGAAGGAGAGGCGAGTGGGGAGTGCGTGACGGGGGCTGGTGGAGGGGATTCGGATTCCTCTCCTCTAGCCGCGCCGGGTGCAGTCGCAGCGACTTTGCTCGGGCCGGAGTATGGCGTGAAGAACCTTGGTGCTCCTGTGGATAGCGGTGCCACACTCGCTCTTCCGGCCCCCTTCGTTAGCTGCATCCGTTGCACGCTTACCGGTGGCCCAATTCCTGTAACGCGAGGGGCTGAGATTGAGAGGGAGTAGGATCAAGAAATTAGAGTCGATCGGTATCAATAGAGGGCCAGCCACTCATGCATGGTATCAATGGTTTGAATTGAATTCGGGTTTCCCCGTGTACTGTTTAGAGACAAGAGGCTTTACCTTGTTTTGCAGATTCGTCGACCCTCTCCTTCCCTGCATGGGAGAAACAACGTGTAGAATGGTGTTATTTGGCATGGTTGAGCAGAGAGTGCAACAACCACGCCAGGTGTATGGGCCAGTGTGCTCACCTTTCTGATGTCCCTTCTGTTTTTTTGCTGCCAGCGCCTTGTCGTTGCCACCTTTCCGCGGGGTGCATTGGCGGCCGCTGCGACGTTTAACGGCAGCTTCAGTCTTGCAAGTACCCACTGGAACCCCTTTGGCGAGGCCACCCTTTCCTCTTCCATCCCCTTTTGCTCCCTGGCGCCCTTGCTTTTGACCACCCCCTTCACGTTCGGCCTTCACCTTACGCGCCTTTGGTTTGCCACCTGCTTCGCCGCGCGCGGTGTCAACTGCCCCGCGTTTTCGGGAATGGCGAGTCCGGCCCCCCACATTTCCTGTAACACTCTGCCGTCTGCCACGCCCGGCCCGTCCCTTCACTGCCGCCACGTCCGCCTCCTCCTCCTCCTCTTCCTCCTCCTCCTCCTCCTCCTCCTCTGCCTCCACCTCGTCCTCCTCATCCTCTTCATCGTCGTCCCCCTGCTCTTCATCCTCCTCCTCCTCCTCCTCCTCCTCCTCCTCCTTCTCCTCCTCCTCCTCCTCCTCCTCCTCCTCCTCCTCCTCCTCCTCCTCCTCCTCCTCCTCCTCCTCCTCCTCATCCTCCTCCTCATCCTCCTCATCATCCCGCTCCTCCTCCTCCTCCTCCTCCTCATCGTCCTGCTCATCTTCCTCCTCCTCATCGTCCTCCTCCTCCTCATCATCGTCGCCGCCCCCCTCGTCCTCATCCTCATCCCCCTCCTCGTCGTCCTCCCCGCCATCTTTCTCATCATTTTCATACTCCCCAGCACCCGAGTCATCCTCCTCCGCATCCTCGTCATCTTTTCTTGCTGCGGGTCGGCCCTTCTGGCGCAATGCATGACCCGGCGCCTTGTCACCAGCTTCCCCTCCGCCTCGGGTTGTCGGTGCTTCCCCGCCATCGGCGTCGCGCGGACTGCCTGTCGTCTGCCGCCTCTTCGCCCGCGTGGTGATGTCTCCGGGCACGGCGGTGTCATACTCGTCCTCCTCGTCACTCTTCCTCTGCCTACGTCTGCCCCGTCCACCAGAAGGAGGAGAGCCACCGACGTCGGCGATGCTGTGGTTCGGATCCTCCCCTGGCTCGTGCGCCTCCACCTTATCCAGCACGGCAGCAGAGATTTCGACCACGGTCGGCTGGAGCGGCGTCAGATGCTGTTGTGATGACTCCGCCTCGGACTCCTTGGTTGCGGCATGCTCGTCGCGGGGATCGCCTCCGTGGTTTCCCCCTTTCGCCGATCCCTCTCTCTCCGCCGACGGGACTGCAAGACGTGCGCTCCTTCGCCCCGGATCTTTGTTGCCGCCACTGGTGCCGTCGTTAGTCGGACCGGGCTCAGTTCCAGCAGAGGCATGATCCGCCTCGTTGTGCACTGTAGTAACGCGCTTGCGTGCCGTTGGTTGCTTCCCGTTGTCGCCCGCCTTCATGCCGAACTTCTCTTGACCGCGCGCGACCTTCTTTGCCGCCACCTTTTTCATCCCCTTGCCACGCGCGACGGACGCATTAGTTTTTTTGGCGCCGGCGCCACCCTCCCTATCGTTCCGCTTCGACATCGTCCTTGTCGCGCGGCGTCCGGCCTGTTCCTCCTCCATTGCTTGTAGACGTGTTGCACGTGTCATGGTTGTTCCGCGGAATGCCAATTTCTAGCGCGCGGAACGGGTTAGCCGGTTTCCAAGGGTTGCCGCAACTGACTCCAACGTACGGACTATCGACGATCTATCACTGTCATCTTTCTACGTTAACCACAGCGTCAGCTAAAACTGAAGTTGTAGCCACTAAGCACAGAGCCACGGCCCATGACTTAGTGTGCTGGCCCCGTCACGGGCGATCTGGACACGAGCTTGTCAAACAGCGAGCAGCGTCAATGTGTTGGCCCAGACAGTGACGGAAGCAGGTGGGTGGGGCACGAGGGTGGTTGGGGTGGGTTGCGAGACATGAGGGATTACAGTACCCTATCAGGCTATATCGGACGGTGTACGTGTAGCCACCAGTGCATAAACCCACCCACCGCTCGATCACAGCCGCTTAATGGTGGAAGTACCCTTTGGCTGGTGCTTGTGTTGCGTGGGGAATCGTGTGAGGTGCATCGGCCAATAACGGTTGCCAACGCATCGATCCCTACGCATGGTATGACGGCTTTCGGACCACAAGTGCGTTTGTCATCTGATCCCTGCAAAGTACAGTGCTGTCGCGAACGCTCAGCACCTTACTGTACACTGCTGTATGATATAAAAAAATCTGAAATACAACAACAAACAACATCAACAACTTTGTTCCTAACGGTATAGTATGGGGATGCAGCCGGAAGTGGGTTTGTCTCATGCCACACACACTTCTCTTGCCTCCAGACGGGTTTGTTGTGGCGGTGGTACAGCGCACTTGTAGGCTTTGCCACTCCGGGTATTAGCCGGCATGCGATATTCTAGTGCGGCTATTAGTAGTAACAAACGATAAACAGTTGTGTAATGGTGTTGGATGGGGCTCAATTCTTGCGTGGACCCTCGACAAGGTGCATGGAGGTCGTGGTATGAAGCACAGGCCCAACGCACGCGAGGAGGCGCGTTATCGACATAGCTGTTCCGACAGTGCGAGGTTGCTGCGTGCACGTCGATGATCTTGCGCGACATGGTGAAACCGTTGTGTAATGGTGTTGGATGGGGCTCAATTCTTGCGTGGACCCTCTACAAGGTGCATGGAGGTCGTGGTATGAAGCACAGGCCCAACGCACGCGCGGCGATGCGTTATCGACAGCAGTGTCTAGACAGTGCGATGTTGCTGCGTTCGGGCCTTGAGTGTTTCGCGACATGGTAAATCCGTTATGGAACGGTGTTGGATTGTCATCCAACCTTGCACAGCCATTCAAGTAGGTGCTTGGAAGGAGTGGTATGAAGTACAGGCACAACGCACGAGCGGAGATGCGTTATCATAAGGGCACAGATGTCTTGTGTACTTCCCGTATGTTTCCAGAGCACACTAGAGTGGTTGGACGGGTTGTAAACTGTCACATTGTAAAGTAGGGGTGGATCTTGAGCTAGCTTTTTCATATGATTGTACAATAGTTATCATCCAAGACTTGGGAGTATAGATAAACTGTAAATGTACAATGTAATATCTGTTTTGTATATTGGCTCTTGACGTGCGCACCATTTGAGCTGTCTAACACGACCGCGACATCCCCCCTACAACGATTCGCGACTGAATCACAAATCCAAACGGATCTGTTCCCGCTCTTTCTCATCCCCCTCGACTCTCACGCACCCAAGTTCTTGAATCAACAGGCACGTCCTTCTCACCGTGCACGCAACGCAGACACACGTCCCTGCGTCTTAAGATCCAGCGCATTATCCTCTGGTTACGGCGTGCTCGGTCTAAACGGGGGCGACACGCCTTGTAGGGAAGACGATCCGTGCTGTGAGCGGTCTGTATCGTGCCTTGCCTCGTCACGCGGCACGAGCATCGTTAGCCAGTCCCAAAGATGAGCGGCCCGCTCAAGTGCCAGCCGTGCAGTGATACAAGCCGCCTTGGACAGTGCTCGGTTTGGCGCTGATCGTGTTGCAGCCACAGCGTTACTGCCTGGTGTATTTAATGCGTTCACAAGCTTCCCACGACGCTCGTTGCTTCACAGGCCACATCTCGACACTTAGACGGATCCGTACCACATGGGCTCTTTGCCAGGCGTCGTTTGCGAGTTCTGCAATAGATGGTTCCCCAACGCCCAAGTCTATGGCGGTCATAAGTCACGGCGGACCCCTTGTCAAGGGCTTTCCGCCGTGGCAAGGCCCTCGCAATTTGCACCGTCCGCCGGTCTCCACGCTCTGCTATTCGTCCACGACATTATGTCGGACGCTCCGGCCGCTCCCGCTACACCAACCACGTCTAACGCATCCAACGCCGTCGGTGAGAGCGGTCCTCCAACCGTGCCTGAAGCTCGCGTTGACGATACTCCCACGGCTGTGAACGATGGGCCTCCTGAAGATGAACATCAACCTCAACCTGGAACACCTGCGGCTGACACGAGTGGCCATCCTGAGAGCCGCCCCGAAGGTAGTAATGCCGCGCCGCCGACAATCAGCACCGGACAGAGCAATGTCACGCCCCTCAACCTGCTCGCGCTGAAACTGCTGCATTTCGTTCGGCGCGTGAATGGCGGCATGGGAATGGCCGAGGTTGACATCAACGGCCTGCTCCAGCTCGTGGTGGAGCCCGGCCTTGCGCCTCTTGTGACCTCGGAGCTCCGAAACTGTAAGGATCTGGAGCGGTTCGAGTTGGAGCGCTTGGCAGGGCTCAATCGCGGATGGTCGGTGGCGACCTTTGAGATTGCGGGTCATCCACCACAGCGCCTGCTCTTCCAAAACGCGGCCCAGGTAAGCCGACTCCAGGTTCTGGGCTGTGAAATGCTGATGCGGCAAACGGTGTTTGCGTGTATGCCACTGACCGTACTCCCACTATCTCCGCCACTAACCATGCCCCTCCTCTCCCCTGCCTTCGCCGCCGTGCACCAGGCATTCGCTGAAATGTTTGGGCATCCCAACAACGCGCCTGGCTTCAAGCTGAAGGCACGTGTTGACGAGGACCCGGACACGGGCGCCCGTCGATATACCACGCCCGAAACAGGAACGTGGTGGAATGACGCTCAGGTAAGGAAATACCTCGTAGCCACACCAATCCCAATCCTTGCTCATGCTTCACGCCATGCCCTGATGTGTCTGGAACATCTTTCCGGTGTTTGACCGTGTGTCCGTTGCCGCTCTGTCGTGCATTGCAGGAACACTTCGGATGGTCCGAAGTTGTGGGGGGGATCATCCTGTATTCGGATGTGACGCACATGAGCAACAACGGCCGGAAGAAGGCGTGGCCGCTCATGATGACGCTCGCCAATATCGCCCAGGCCAAGCGATGGGGGAAAGTCGGGCACACACTACTTGCCCTCCTTCCTATCCCGCCGCCTGCAATGTCTTCCAGAGATGCGTCATCACCGTGCTGCAGCCGCTTCTTGATGGCATGGCAAGGTTCGTACTCATGCGGCATCTTGCTATGTCGTCATCCAACCACCTGCAGAGTATGCAGAGTGTCTCTGTATGTTGCCTGCCCCAATGCCCATCTGTGTTCCTCCCTAAGAACCGTCCTCCAAATTCCTGTTGCCACTCTGCCTGTACCATGCAGTGGGTTCCAACTCAGGGACCCTTTCGGCGATTGGCAAACCGTGCGGCCCCTGCTGTACGCCTGGGTGTGTGACTACCTCGAGAGCGGCAAGATCAGTTGCACACTCTCACATGGGTCGCGCATGCCATGCAGCATCTGCTATGCTGCAAAGGTGAGTAAGCATCGAATGTGCACGCATTTGTATACATTTTGGTTTTAGTGTGGCCTGATACTCCACTTCGTTACCACCCTTACCTTCATATCCCACCCCCTCACCCCCGTGCTACACCAGGAGCATCTGGGGGCTGTCAAGGCACGGAACACGCCGCGCACGCCTGAACAGCAGCAATGGATCGTCAACGAGGCGGCTGGGACGACAAATAGCCAGGACAACCTGTGCAAGACCTACTCTACCTACCCTGTTGAGGTGAGTGACGTGTTCCCGCGGCTAATGTGCTGTCTCTGCATTCGCCCGCCCCATCATGAATTGCTGGATATGCTCTGCCCCATTGAACTCACCACACATGTGGTTTATCCTAACCCACATGTACATTTCTCCTTCATTCCTTGCTGCATCCCCATTTCCAGTGCGTGCTCTGGAAGTGGGATGTCCCAGGAACCGCGTGGGGCAATCCCTACCTCGTGGTCATGCCTGACATCATGCACCAGGCGGACCTGGGCATCATGAACCACATTGTGGCTGTTGTGCGCAAGATGAAGAAGCGGCGTATGAAGCAGATGGACAGGTCAGTGTTTTGGTTTGTGGATTCGTTGCTCTTTGTCACATTTACACAAAGTATCCGTGCTGAGCTCTCCCAGACATGGTTCTGCCCTTGCATTGAACTGATGTATATGGGCAGGCGCCTGTCGCTCATTCGCGACCGCACGCGCCTGTATCACATGCGCCTGCCGAAGAGCGCCTATTTTGAGACCGGAGCCTGCGTCGCGGCCTATGAGCACAGGGCCGTCATGCAAGTATGATAGCCCTGAATGACCACGTCTTGAGCGATAGACTGCACCCTATACACACAGCACCCCGAATCCATGTTAAACCCACACACTGTGCTGCCTGCCCCACACCCCCCCACCCCCCCCCCCCCCCCCCCCCCCCCTCCATTCCCTGTTGCTTGTCCTGACCGCCCCTCTACCAGTCTGCTCCTGCTGCCACCTCTTTGTCCCTAAACCGTCAGTCCATCTGCGCTAACCCTCCCCTGTGCTGCTATCAATGAACCTTGCAGGTCATGGTGTTTGTTTTTGCCGGCCTGCTTCGCCAGCCCCAGATGGATGCCGTGCGTGCCTATCTTGGCTGGTACCTCCTGTGCTCCCAGCCACAGGGGCACACTGAGCGGTCCCTCCGGGAGCTGAAGAAGATGACCTCCCGGTACTAATACGTGTGCATGTAAACCCCTGTGCACGGGATGATTGCTTGGCTACTGTAAATGTGCTCTTG